TTCCTCAACACATTTACACCATACTGTGGTAATATATCGATACGTAACTAGAACGAAAGGTTTAATTTGCAATTTACCCTATAATAGAGTCAATCAAAATCGAAATTATATAATCTTGGCAACATACTATATTTTTGAAATAATATTCAAATATATATCTAATATGAGATTGCTATATTAAATATAACATTGCAAGTAGCAATTTATTCTCCATTCCACATTAAACCGAATTATGCATACTTAAAATCATTGTATTGCAACTTTGTCACAATCTGAATACATATTTTCAATATATTATGTTATTTATATTATTCATATTTATTTGATATATTATATTAAAACATACTAATAATAATATAATAATAATATAAAGTAACTATATACATAAAGCTAATATATATATATGGTAACCATAGCTATAATTTCTTTCTTATTACATATGTATTTACTCAATTTGACTCCCTCAAAACAAAAATTACTTTTCCATGAATCCAATAATATCAGTATATCATTGCAACCGAAGCTGCAGTTTGTTCATTCTGCTACATGGCATTGCATACGTCCATTACTGAAGTGATACATCAACCACCCCAACAAATTTTCAAAATATTACCACACAACCAAATAATGCAATCGCATTTATACTCTCGACACTTTTAATTTCCCGCTAATCCGTTCCCCATACTCGCATTCCTCCCTAAACCGAATAAGTCTTCAGGTGACGCCAATGGCGTCACTACCAACACCGTCTCGTCCGGCGCGAGTGGAGGACTGGTCCTATAAGAGGATGGACATCTCTCGCCTACACGCCTAACAGATCTGTGCTCTCGGGTGTCGAGGAAATTTGCATCGGATGGGAGTGTGTCTGCCTAGTAACTGGTCGACTTCGTTGCACCGCCGAGCTGGCTGCGTTTCGAATAAAAACTACCGGAAATTCTAATTGAAATACTTTTATCTCTCACTCGCCTAAGATCATACTTCAAGATTTATTTTATTTCTTTGATTTTATGTCGAAGACCACCTGCAAATCTCTATGAATCGGAATTAACGCATTATTGACTGACAATTGTTTTCGTAAAATTGAAGTGATTAATTACAGTAATAATAACAACGAAAATTGGATTCAAATCTCACTCTGTTTTTAATAGAATAAATCAAATTATTTGTACGTAATGAGGAACGTATGTTTAGTACGTATATTATTATTACTTAATATATATAATAACATAATATATATTTTATATATTTTTATTATATATTATCATAAAAAAAAATTAAAAATTAAAAAATTAAATTATTAATATATAATTATAAATATTTTCATACTATA